CTGACCATCCCATATTAAGTCCATTCATTCACTAAGGAATAATAATAATTGAAGCCAAGTTAAACAAGTGTTTTGCGTCTCCGCCCGCTCCCGTTTTTCTTTTTCTCTTACTTGTTTTCCAGTCCAAATGACAAACTATTTATTTTGATACTTGAATTAGTTCGCATTATTTAAGAGACAAAAACAGCGACTGCGAGCTGGCTTTGCATCTTCACTGGTCCTTGACGAGTATGTGCCCTTTATGGATTATAAAATGTACTCTATTTTAGATAAAGATCGCTAGTTATTACGAAGCGTAAGTCGGTCGTAAAAGCTAAACTGCAAAGACACGGCCCAAGATGGTCAGAAATTTTTAATTTAACGTGCGCTCCCCATTTATTTTTGTGTTTTTCATTACTGTTTGTCCGGAAATACGGGTTCGTTAAGGACAAATTTTAGGAAGAAATTCGACGCTCAGCGTGCAGGAAATGGCACTCCTAGGCTCAAAATTTTGAGATGCTTATGGTTAGAGCAGCATTCCACACAAAATGTCAACATGTTTTCGGTTTTCGATATTGAAGTTAATTCGGACATTGAACATGTATATTTTTGGGAGGAGGGAGGGTCTATAGTATGTTTTAACTTTTCAGTAATGACAAAAGAAATCGTAAGCATATGGTTATTGTCAAGAGACAATTTTCTTGTCGTCCGTCATTAGCTCTGTTCTCTTAGAAAGACAATACAAGAAAAGTAACTCGATACTGCGAAGATTTTCACTCGACCTTGGAACTATGAGAGATCACATCTTTCTGCTCCCTAATCTTGTGTAATTAAGAGGCAATTTTCCCAGCGAAAATTTGCGAGTTAGTTTTCGTGATAAGTGGAAAAGAGCCTTATCCTAACTCCTTGATAAATCTGTTTACCAGTGTGCTTCAGTTCTTTCAAATGTGCTGTCCGAGGAAAACTGAATACCAAAGTCCAATATTTCGATATCACCAAGTTTGCTTGACCAATGTGGGGGATCTCGAGGGTTCATTACTGTCCATGATTCAGGATTATTCTTCATTCCAACCAATAAACTCCCCCCTCCCCCACCATCTGTATGCACATCACACCAGAGCTGTGCAGTGTAACTCATACTTACGCTGTGTCTCTAATTATTGATAAATATTATAGTAATACCTTTAGTTTTGATGTCCCATGAAATCCAAAAAATCCAGACAAATGATCAACAATATCTGGACAATCTCTGGCTGGGTCGAATATTTCACCCAATGTCGGAGAACCTGTGTTTAGAAAGTACAATAGTTGGTTCTAGCGTATTTTTGTTCTATCCCTTCCTTTGCTAAAATTTCCTTTCTTTTGATGAGTCAGCGAGGTTAGATAATTGCCCTGCCGTTATGTCAATGACTGGCTAACTTGCTTTATAGTATTTCCTCACCTGAGAATGTTGCACCATTTCTTAAATACTGAAGTTAACTCTCAACACCAAAATATATCCATTTCACTCATGAGCTCATAGATATTTTCATGAGCTCAATCAGTCTAATACCTTTCTCTCTAGCTATTGGGGTCAGAAGGGTCATCCCTTCTTGGTCCAGTATTATGCTAAATTTATGCTAGATCAGTTCTAAACAGCTTTTCCTCCTGTGTTATCACAGGAGAAACCTAAATTAACCGTATTTATACTGGATAGAATGCGATTGCCTATTATTTAAATTATTATTAGATTAGCACTACAGTAATTATGTTTTGTTAATGAAGTATAATATGTCTAGGATTTATGCTAATCAAGTGAATTTAAATCCCAACGTAGTTGAGCATGCCCCACAAACAACTTTCTTTAACGTTAATCCAACGAATTTTGACGGTTTGCTATTGAATTGGATTAGACGAGCGAGTTATAGAATCCAATGGAGCAATTCCCAAATAACCAAAATTTTGAACTCAACAAGTCTAGACAAAAATTTCATCACAACTTGAAAGAGCATCACAAAATTAGTAATATTCCAAAGTTTCGTTTTAAAATGTTGTAAAATGCGGATAATATAGCCTTGCGACGTTTGCAATTTTCAGTCATTTTAGATTACAAACGGGAAATGGTTACCACTTCCGTGCGTATTACAAAATGACTGAAAATTACAAACTTCGCAAGGCTATATTATCCACATTTTACAACATTTCGCAATGAAACTTTGGAATATTACTAATTTTGGGATGCTCTTTCACGCTGTGATGAAATTTTGTCTAGACTTGTTGAGTTCAAAATTTTGGTTAATTGGGGATTGGTCCATTAAAATAGTTTTTATACGCAGAAGCAAAACGCGGCTTGTGAGTAATGTGAGACGTAGCAACCGTACTACTTATTAGCTACGGAGCGTCGCAAACCATGATTGAGAAACTGTAGCCTCCTCCGCAGGCAACTGCGTAGTTCTGCAACGTTATTAACTATAAAGGAACGTAGAAAATACAAGGAAATAGTTCTCAAATACGATATATTAATAAACAAGAAGCGCAAATTAAAAAGGCCTGGAGCTGAAAAAATAGGGAGGATAATGTGGAACATATGTGGACAATACGAGCTGCCTTCAACAGACAAACGCACTATGCTCAATGTCGATAAAATCACAATCATATCGTATTTCAGAACTATTTCCTTGTATTTTCTACGTTCTTGATAAATCTTTTATAGTTAATAACGTTGTAGAACTACATAGTTGCCTGCGGAGGAAGCTAGCCAAACTGTATGCATGTCAATCATGGTTGAGTTTTGACTTTGAAAAGGACACCCTTAATTGAATTAGTCGTATAGTTCGAAACTATTCTCTCTAGTATAGAGGTCCAGTCATGCAGGACCATTCTGTATCAGTCTAATGTTACTACAGAGTACAGACCATTAATTCACAACTACTGAATATCAGTACAGAGGTCATTAACACTGTCCTTACCATCGATATATTGCCATTGAGTGACTCCGTTTTTTTCTCCTATACACAAATCAAGTTCTTGACGCGCCCAGCTAGGTTTTCGTGACTTTCCTGGATTACATTTAGTGAAATTCTGAAGTAAAAAGTGAATTTATCAATTTGTAATGAACAATTTCTTGTGCAAGTTCAAACTTCGCGAGTTTTAGATGGAATAGTCAGCCTTCGTGCACTTTGGTGGGCGCATAAAACTTAAAACTAGAAATTTAAGGCTTAACTCAACACATGCACACACCAAATATAATAAAACTGAGTTGACTAACCTTATTGCTTTGCGATAAACCAGAAGTTATTGTAGACAAACAGACTGAAAGAATCAGAATTTTCCACAGAACGTTTGAAGACATGGCCTTTTTTTCTAAGTTTGTTTCCAGCACGTTCGACCTGCTTTCTTCAGTGTCCTGAACCGTACTGGCGAAATGAGCTCTCTATAATTTAAGCTCATTCATTTCCAAATGACAACTTGTCAAGAAACAAAAGACTATTCAAATTTCTCAGCAAGGGGAAGGACATCAGCGAGCTTCTTCCTTCAACAAAGAATATCTATACTCTCTTAATTCAAAAGATTGAAAATTTCAATCTTTCAAAGGTTTGAAAAAAAACTCAATCGAATAGATTGAAATTAGATTGAAAAACGCTCAGTCAGTTTGCCATTCGATTGAAATATATCAGTCGATTAGAACGACTGATAATTATTTCAATCTTTGAAAAGATTGATACTTTTAAGCCAATCATATATCTCAAAATTCGCGCGCGCGGGCCAGTTTGAGGAAGAAGAAGCTTTGCTCACTTGCTTTTTCTGAGGAGTGAGGAAGTCATGGAGGGGGAAGAAAACGCTTCGGAGCCCCGGCAAATATTAGAAAAGGATGGGTTTCCTTTGGAGATTATTTCAAAAATGGAAGGTTAGTGATTCACTTTTACATATATACATGTATTTTTTTCTTATAGGCTAGCAATAGTCAATAGTATATCTAGAATAGTTCTTTTTAAAACGGAAAGCTGCTTCTGGTTTTATGCTTTATGTGCTTCCTGCGGGAAGGCAAAAAATACAAAAAATGTTTTTATATCAGACGAAACCATTTCGAACCATATAAGAAACCTCAATATACAAAATTGTATCTCAATTTAACATTTGAAAATGCAAAACTGGAGTAGTTATAAACAACTAAATGCTTTTTACAAAAGAAAAATTATAAAAAAAAAATCGTCGCCATTTTTCATGGCAGCAAAACGACAACACACTTTGAAGCTCTTGTTGCATTTGATCATGCATGTATGGTACTATGGTTTCACATTGCTTCACTGTAATCAGATTTTTTACGACCTTAATACAATCAACTGTACGGAAGGCAATTTGGTCACATAGTCATTTACAGCGTTAGTTTTTTCCACGGCAACATATTTTGCTTTGGTATAAATTGTCATTTGTATAATTTCGTTGCTTATATTTTCGTTGCGTTTGCGGTTTGCTTGCTCAGAAAACTTTATTTAGCGGCATAAAAAGCAAAAGACGGCACACTAAACAGCCCAAACTTCGATAATTCATGTCAAGGGACGAGTTTAAACGTGTTTAGTCGTTTATTAATATTATTAAAAATTTAAAAGTAATTATCGTGTAAAAAATCAAGATGGCTGCCACATCGAGACACCTCAGACACGCAGAGGCATATTTTAAGATTTATAAAGTATTTTGGCATCTGATATGGAGCAAAGCGAAGAAGCATTTAATATAAAATGTCCCCTTGAAAGGTCTACAAATTGTGAACTTGCTCACTAGCTTGCAAAGGTATGTCGTTAGCTCATGCAGATGGTGTGCCAAGTTGTGTTTCAAACTATATAAATTGAAATGAAATACATCAAATCAAAACCGGCCTATAACCCACAAAACTTGACAAAAGCAACTTATAAAACTTCACACTGTCTTGTATTGTACTATGCTCATGCATATTATGCTCTTTCATTTATAATTTTAATATGGAACATGCACTCTAGTAACTTATATTTTTATAAATGAGCAAGAGCAATTTATTTTAAAATATTTTCAGATATGTTTTGGCAAAGTAAATAAAACAGGTGTGAGTGCACTCAGCTGAATTGCACTAACCATTTCATTGTATGTGTATAAATATTTAGACACTATCAAACATGAACTTAACCCATTGTTATTCAAGGCTTGCATCAGGTCCTAGGTAGTGTAACTTTTTTGCCTACATGTAGTTGTGAGTGGGAGCCAACTCAGAGCTGCGAATAGTGCTGTTTGAAATGCGATCGAGCTGATGAAAATTTTGTAGCACTAAGATAAGGTTAAAAAGCACGAAAGCGGCTGCAAGTGTTGTCCAGCTAATTTGATTGCAAGCATTCAGTTATTTATTTGTAGTGTATTTGCATGCGATTAAATGCACATTTTCCAATTGCATGGATTGTCAATATATGGTGAAACTGTGCTAGACTCATGCACCTTGACAAGTAAAAATGGCAACCAGAGTAAAAATGCAATGTGGGGCACAAGAGTCATATATAATTTAACCCATTAACCAGTGCCACCAGTGCTCTAGCTACTACAGTTGAATAAAATCGTATGGCATTAGACAGAATAAATACTAAAGTAGGGCACATTTGGGCACATTGCTCGCTAACGAGTTAACAAGAGACATGGGCAAATAGGTTTATTAACCCATTGAGTGGCAGCTCTCTCCATTTGACGAGTAAAATACTCTGGCGTTAGACAGAGTAATTAAAATACTAAGGTAGGGTGCATTGCCACTTAAAGGGTTAACAGGATGCAACCCATAATTGAGCTAACCCATAATTGAGCTAACCCATAATTGAGTGGCAGCACTCTCCACTTCACTAGTGTTAGACAGAGTAAATACTAAAGTAGGGTGCAATTTCGAGGTGCATTGCCACATAAAGGCTGGGTTAACCACCAGTATACTCTACCACTGCTGAGTAAAATTGTCTGGCATTAGACAGAGTAAATACTAAAGTAAGCAGCATTTGGGCACTAATGAGTTAACAAGAGACATTGGGCAGATAGGTTTGTTGACCCATTAACCACCAGTACTCTACCACTGACGAGTAAAATTGTCTGGCGTTAGACAGAGTAACACTAAAGTAGGGTGCATTTGGGCGCATGAGTTAACAGTTTAATCCATTAAGTTGCATGTCTCTCCCCTCGGCAGGTAAATTGTATGACCTTACCCAGAGTAAATGTTAAGGATAAAGTCAGGTGCATTGCTGCTCAATGGGTTAACCCATTGAGTGGCAGCTACAGTAGCACTCTCCCCCTGGGGCTGGTTGTTCAAAGCCTGTTTAGCTTAAACAGTGGATAAGTCGAAAATATTGATCAAGTTTATACATTCATCAAGTAACTAAACTAAAATATTTCAACTTGAGTAGAACAACCGGCCCCTGATGAGTAAAATCATCAGGCGTTAACATAGTAAAATAATCTAGTGTTAGACAGAGTAAAATAATAAAGTAGGGCACATTGCCACTTAAAAGGTTAACAGTGTGCATGGGCAGATAGTCTGATTAATGCATTGAGTGGCAGCACTCTCCCCATGATGAGTAAAATCATCTGGCATTAGTCAGAGGAAAATAATCTGGTGTTAGACAGAGTAAAATATTAAAGTAGGGTGCATTGTCACTTAAAGGTTAACAGCTAGGGTACATGGACAGATAGTCTGATTAATGCATTGAGTGGCAGCACTCTTCCCCTGATGAGTAAAATCATCTGGCATTAGACAGAGTAAAATAATCTGGCGTTAGACAGAGTAAAATAATAAAGTAGGGCACATTGCCACTTAAAAGGTTAACAGGGTACATGGCCAGATAGTCTGATTAACACATTGGTCGAGTGACAGCACCCTCCCCTGATGGGTAAAATCATCTGGTGTTAGACAGTGTAAATTAATCTGGTGTTAGACGGAGTAAAATAATAAAGTAGCCAGGGCACATTGTCACTTACTGTAAAGGGTGAACAGGGTGCATGTGCAGATAGTCTGATTAACACATTGATAGAGTGACAGCACCCTCCCCTGATGAGTAAAATCATCTGGCATTAGACAGAGTAAAATAATCTGGTGTTAGACAGAGTAAAATAATAAAGTAGCCAGGGCACATTGTCAATTACTGTAAAGGGTGAAAAGGGTGCATGGACAGGTAGTTATTTATCTTGTCAAGTAAAATCATCTCTTGTTAGACAGAGTAAAAGGATAAAGTGGGGCAGCGGTACAGTTGGGAGTGCATTGCCGCTGAATGGGTTAACCCACTAAATAATGTTCAAGACATTTCTTACCCCTCTCCTTGATGGGTAAAATCGTCTGGTGTTAACCAGAGTAAAAATATTTTGCATTAGCAATAGTAAAAGTAGTATGCACAAGGATTTACTGTAATTCATTTATAGCCACATATATGGGTACTAAGCTTAACTCAGTCATAATTAATATAAAACTATTTTCCATTGATGAGTAAAATTATGTCGTGTTAGCCATTGAGAGTAAATTAATAAACTAGTGCATGTACATGTGTTATTGAGAATATCAAATAAATCCAAAGAATGTAAGTGAGTAGAGTATATATGATTGTGCATGTTTACTCCTATGTTACATCATGTGTCAAAATGAATATTAATGTTGGTTTCTACAATCAATGCTTTAATTGTCACTATCAAATGAGTATGACACTGGATAATGTTGTTCATCCTCTTGTCGTCCCCTTGCCTGGTGTGGGTCTGTCAGTAATGTAGGTTGCATGTTATATAATGGTCAGATTGTAGTCTAGCTGAGTGCACCATTCAGGTCCTTAGGTTAATTGGGGGGCCAAGACACCCCCCAGCCCCCATGTTGTCCTCACCAGTTAACTATTTGGCACCCCCAGTGTAAATCTCCTTTTTGAAAGATATATCGATATGAAATGGAGAGTAATTTAGTTCAAGAGAATAGGCATCGTCTTCATGGATTTCCTAAAATTTTACGGTCGGGTCTTGAAGTATCAAGGTTTAGCTCATTAATTAAACATGATTACGTGATTGATATGTTTGTAATATTTCGTCCAATTGCAACGAGGAATAATGACGTGTGCACACGCCTTTATACAATCAGATTAAAGAAATTCAGCGATAGCACACGTCAGTAAGTTGTTCCTAAATTTTCATTTTTATAAAATGTGTCATTATTTCATTTGCGAGAATTTTTCTGCTGTTCATTTCAACTCGTCTGATTTAATTAGCCATTCTCACGCCTCCACTTTTCGGTGGTAAGCGAGATACTGTAAGTCCACATAACAGCGACTTTTTATAATTTTTTGGACGAATGATGAGATATTTGCTTTGTAAATGGTTAGTTTATTTAAAAAATTGCCTTTCACATTATTTTAATTGTCTGCATTGGTTAACGAGAATTGGTGCCACTAAAAATGGCGGATATTCGTCATCGTGAGAAAGGCGACGGACAAACACGGACAAATAATCCTTTTAATTTAAAATACAAACCGCTCCATTGTCGAACATTCATGTATAGAATTAGAGCGATAAAATAATAGAATGAAACTGCCTTTCATGGTCGAATTAGCCAAACCCTAATTATTACAAAGACAAAGTCTGTATGCTGTGAACAAGTCAAATAAATTTGTTATCAACTTGCAGCAAGTCTGCAAATGTCAAGTTGCAACTTAAGCCTGATTTTAACAGACTTGCTGCATGTTGTTCATCAGACTTGTCAAGACTTGTTATCCACACGCTTGCTGCAAATTGCCTGAACAACTTGCAGCAAGCCTGCAGATAACAACTTGCAGCAAGCCTGCGGATAACAACTTGCAGCAAGCCTGATTCTCGCAACTTGCATCAACATTGATGCATTCATCAGACTTGGCCCACGTTGTTCCATCAGACTTGTCAAAACTTGATATCTACAGACTTGATGCAAGTTGATGAAACAACTTGCATCGAGTCTACAAATAACAAATTGCACCAAGGCTGATTTCCTCAACTTTCGTCAGCATTGATGCGTTCATCAGACTTGCAGCAAGCCTGTTGAAATCAGACTTGCTCATGCAAGTTGACATTTGCAAATGTTTCATCAACTTGCACTGTATAATAAGAAGCGGTAATTATCGTTGAAAGCAATTCAGTTGCCAACTTTAACTTGCCACTGTGGGTATGCAGCTAGCAAAGTACGGTACATTTGCAAGTTCACAGTTCGTAGGATTTTTTTAATAATCGTTCCCTGTTATTTTTCGTATAGATGCGAAATTTGTTTACCATGGAATGGAAGATAAAGAATCTAAACTGAACAGTGCTGGAATTAAAACAAATGAATTAACTTGACAGGACTTAAATATACCTGAAAGAATTGATGACGTAAGGCGTGATATCGCGATTAATTTCATGCTTACGTGCCACAAAATAAGCTTCATGATTGGACAATTTGAAGTTGAGGTATAATGTGACGTAATATCCTGCTAGTAGAGAACCAATCAGATTGCAGAATATACCTCATATCCAGACCTTGTGTATAAAATAATTATATTATTAATTACATGTAGGAGAACTCATATACAGGGTGTATAAAAAATAACTGAACAAATATGAATTTGCTCTCAATTTCGAAAAACAGCTATTAGTATCCAGTTATTAGTATCCAGATGTATATAGCTTCAATGGGTACTTATAATGTATAATAATGAAAAAAAATTGTCGAACTCAAATTTTGTGAACCAGGTGGGGGGGGGGAGGGGGGTCTTTTCCAACAAACTAAAAATGGCTTGCGCACAAAATCTAAAAGCTTTAATCATATTTTGAGTTAATAGATGGAAAATGTGTTGGGTTTTTAATTACTGTACAAATTTTCAGAGAATTTGCTTTAGTTTAAGCCTTTAACTATTCACGCAAACTTACATGTTTTCCTAAAAATCAGCTATTTGCATGCTTAATTAATGCCTTTGCCTAATTTGCATCTGTCATTTGCAAATTAGGTAACGGCATTAATTAAGCATGTGAAAGGCTGACTTTTTAGGAAAAAATGAATAGCAAAAGGGCTTAAACTATAAAGCAAAGTGTCAGAAATTTTGTACAGTATAATTAAAAACCCAACAAATTTTCCATCTATTAACTCAAAATATGATTAAAGCTTTTAACCCACCCCCCCTGGTTCACAAAATTTGAGTTGGGGAAATTTTTTTCATTCTACATTATAAGTACCCAAAGAAGCTACATACATCAAAAACTGGGATACTAATAGCTGTTTTGCGAAATTGAGAGCAATTTCAAATCTGTTCAGTTTTTTTTTATACACCCTGTATATTTAGTATATACGCATGCATTTTTATCGCTGCCTGTTATAGCTATATTACATGTACATCTTTTTCAGAAAATATTATAAGATGTTTCCTTAAAGACGTTGTTGTGTTTGTTGTTTCTCTTTCAGTCTAGATACTAAGATTGAAATGAAGTCAATCCGATCTATGATTGAAAAACTGATCTATAAGATTGAAAATTGTAATCTAATAGATTGAATATTTCAATATTTTAACGATTGAAAGTCTTCAATCTAAAAAAAGATTGATTTTCAATCCGGGAAGTTTGGTCCTGCAAACCAAACTTGCAAAGATTGAAAAAAGATTGAAAACCTTAACCGATTGAAAAATAATCACTCTTTTAGATTGAAAATATTCCAATCTAAACAAAGAGTGAAAATATATTCAGTCTAAATTTTCAATCGAAAAGATTGAAATTCGATTCAAAAGTAACTCTTTTTAGATTGATTTTGCTTTCAATCGAAGGTACGATTGGTTTTCAATCGTAAACGTTTGGTCCCTAAGAACAGTCTGAAAAAGATTGAAAATTCAATCGAATAGATTGAAATTTCAATCGTTTGAATTAAGAGAGAAGCTCGTAGCAACTTGTTACGAACAGCCTGTGTTAGTGTTGATGGAACAACTTGTAGCAAGTCTGTTACCGTCACCAACCTTGTAACAAGGTGATAACAACTTGTTCCAGACTTGTCACAACAACTGGGAACAAGCAGTGCGAACACATCCTGATATCGGCTTCACAACAACCTTGTTACAATTTGTTTGCAGATCTCTAACAACTTGCGCCTTTTACGTGTGGATATGATATGATATGATATGATATGATATGATATGATATGATAAGCTATCTCAAAAGATATTTTATATTTTAGAAAAACGAGCAACAACGATGTATGCGACACAAGATGACGTATCTCTCTGTGACGTGTGTACAGACTGCGCGAACTGTGTGCCACGAACACGCGGGTCTGGTCACGCGACACGCGCGGTATCCTTTTCCCATGTTTTGGTGCTTATTTTTACCCTGCTTTTGTACCACATTTACTAAGCAACGATAATTTTTTGGCTGGTCCAATATACAACTGTAGAAACTGTTGTAGTCAGTACTAGTAAATACACTGTAGCTGTACTGTATAACGCTATAGACGGATATGTTATTTAGTCGAGATGGTCTGTTTAATGCAAAAGTTAGACAATTTTAGGCTACGGCCTACGTTTACTCTATACTGGATAGTTTTCCGTAGCGGCGGGAAAAAGCGCCTATCTGATACGGAATGTACAACTTTCAGGAGCTGAGCGAAGCAACATCTCTCCGTTGCAATAATTCCTCTGAAAATAGCGTTCCTAAAAGGTACAGATAGATGTTTTTTTACGTCGCTACGGAAATCTATCCGCTACAGTATAAACGTAGCTTTAGGGTATATTTAGCCTTCACAAGTATACGTATCCAACGTATCCAGTAATATAACATCCAGTTATTGATACTAATTCGGTCCCAGGACAATGTGGACGATCATGGGCCGAAATATATAGACTATAAATTGACCAGTATATGTAGATAGCGTTTCCCTAGCGCTTTACATTTATATAATAATTGGGATCATATATTTTACCCCGCATGTTTCAAGTTTAATTCGCTAGTGTGCACAATATTCATTGACAGTAATTCTTCGGTCAAGGAAATGTATTGAGGAAAATCTGCTTGTTTGCGCGATTAGAATTGTAAAATAGATAATATAATGGTAAAAACACGTATAAAATCAATACATTCATATAATTCAATTTAAATGGTGATATGTTAGCGCGTTATATTTTGGCCAGGAGGCTACGGGCTTTTTGGTTCAATGGAGATTTTGACAAAATTCTGGTTGAGGTATCTTTGACCAGTGCATGAGCTCCATAAATATCTCGAGCGATTTCAAAGGTAAGTCTGTTATCAAATTATGGTGGCATGCACGGTCCACGTGCGTGTTGCAGCACGTTTAAGCAGCCATTATATAAAGTCTTACGAAATAGCATTACCATGTCGTTGTGTCCAGTATTTCTCAGCACAATTTGCGTAGGAGATATTAAAAGTGGCTGAGAGGTCACTTGTGAAACTATCAATTTATAACGTAGATATCTTTGTTGTTTAGCATTCCTGAATGTGAGCACTTAACTTGCCTTTTACTTTTAATATCAGAGTCAATAGTACCATCCAGTCATGATCCACTGATCAGAATGTTCCACTGTCTTTTCATTTTTTGAAAATCTCACTGTTCTCCATGCCATCCAGTCATGATCCAGTGATCAGAATGTTCCATCGTTTTTTCATTGTTTTGAAAATCTCGCTGTTCTCCATGTCATCCAGTCATGATCCAGTGGTCAGAATGTTCCATTCTCTTTTCATTGTTTTGAAAATCCCACTGTTCTCCATGCCATCCAGTCATGATCCAGTGATCAGAATGCTCCATTGTCTTTTCATTGTTTTGAAAATCTCACTGTTCTTCATGCCATCCAGTCATGATCCAGCGATCAGAATGTTCCACTGTCTTTTCATTTTTTGAAAATCTCACTGTTCTCCATGTCATCCAGTCATGATCCAGTGGTCAGAATGTTCCATTCTCTTTTCATTGTTTTGAAAATCCCACTGTTCTCCATGCCATCCAGTCATGATCCAGTGATCAGAATGTTTCATTGTCTTTTCATTGTTTTGAAAATCTCACTGTTCTCCATGCCATCCAGTCATGATCCAGTGATCAGAATGTTCCATTGTCTTTTCATTGTTCTGAAAATCTCACTGTTCTCCATGCCATCCAATCATGATCCAGTGATCAGAATGTCCCATTGTCTTTCATTGTTCTGAAAATCTCACTGTTCCCCATGCCATCCAGTCATAATTCAGTGATCAGAATGTTCCATTGTCTTTTCATTGTTTTGAAAATCCCACTGTTCTCCATGCCATTCAGTCATGATCCAGTGATCAGAATGTTCCATTGTCTTTTCATTGTTTTGAAAATCCCACTGTTCTCCATGCCATCCAGTCATGATCCAGTGATCAAAATGTTCCATTGTCTTTTCATTGTTTTGAAAATCTCACTGTCCTTCATGCCATCCAGTCATGATCCAGTGATCAGAATGTTCCATTGTCTTTTCATTGTTTTGAAAATCTCACTGTTCTCCATGCCATCCAGTCATGATCAAGCGATCAGAATGTTCCATTGTCTCTTCATTGTTTTGAAAATTTCGCTGTTCTCCATGCCATCCAGTCATGATCAAGTAATCAGAATGTTCCATTGTCTTTTCATTGTTTTGAAAATCTCACTGTTCTCCATGCCATCCAGTCATGATCCAGTGATCAGAATGTTCCATTGTCTTTTCATTGTTTTAAAAATCTCACTGTTCTCCATGCCATCCAGTCATGATTCAGTGATCAGAATGTTTCATTGTCTTTTCATTGTTTTAAAAATCTCACTGTTCTCCATGCCATCCAGTCATGATCCAGTGATCAGAATGTTCCATTGTCTTTTCATTGTTTTGAAAATCTCACTGTTCTCCATGCCATCCAGTCATGATCCAGTGATCAGAATGTTTCATTGTCTTTTCATTGTTTTGAAAATCTCACTGTTCTCCATGCCATCCAGTCATGATCCAGTGATCAAAATGTTCCATTGTCTTTTCATTGTTTTGAAAATCCCACTGTTCTCCATGCCATCCAGTCATGATCCAGTGATCAAAATGTTCCATTGTCTTTTCATTGTTGTAAAAATCTCGCTGTTCTCCATGCCATCCAGTCATGATCCAGTGATCAGAATGTTCCATTGTCTTTTCATTGTTTTGAAAATCTCACTGTTCTTCATGTCATCCAGTCATGATCCAGTGATCAGAATGTTCCATTGTCTTTTCATTGTTTTGAAAATCTCACTGTTCTCCATGCCATCCAGTCATGATCCAGTGATCAAAATGTTCCATTGTCTTTTCATTGTTTTGAAAATCTCACTGTTCTCCATGCCATCCAGTCATGATCCAGTGATCAGAATGTTCCATTGTCTTTCATTGTTTTGAAAATCTCACTGTTCTCCATGCCATCCAGTCATGATCCAGTGATCAGAATGTTTCATTGTCTTTTCATTGTTTTGAAAATCTCACTGTTCTCCATGCCATCCAGTCATGATCCAGTGATCAGAATGTTCCATTGTCTTTTCATTGTTTTGAAAATCCTACTGTTCTCCATGCCATCCAGTCATGTTCCAGTGATCAGAATGTTCCATTGTCTTTCATTGTTTTGAAAATCTCACTGTTCTCCATGCCATCCAGTCATGATCCAGTGATCAGAATGTTTCATTGTCTTTTCATTGTTTTGAAAATCTCACTGTTCTCCATGCCATCCAGTCATGATCCAGTGATCAGAATGTTCCATTGTCTTTTCATTGTTCTGAAAATCTCACTGTTCTCCATGCCATCCAATCATGATCCAGTGATCAGAATGTCCCATTGTCTTTCATTGTTCTGAAAATCTCACTGTTCCCCATGCCATCCAGTCATAATTCAGTGATCAGAATGTTCCATTGTCTTTTCATTGTTTTGAAAATCCCACTGTTCTCCATGCCATTCAGTCATGATCCAGTGATCAGAATG